AGTATCAGTAAATAAGGTTTGATGGTGTTTTATGTAGTTACAACAGTACCAGTATATATGGTTTGGTGGTGTTTTATAAAGTTACAAGAGTATCAGTATATATGGTTTGGTGGTGTTTTATGAAGTTACAAGAGTATTGGTATATATGGTTTGATGGTGTTTTATGAAGTTACAAGAGTACCGGTATATATGGTTTGATGGTGTTTTATGAAATTACGAGAGTACCAGTATATATGGTTTGATGGTGTTTAATGCAGTTACAACAGTACCAGTATATATGGTTTGGTGGTGTTTTATGTAGTTACAAGAGTACCGGTATAATGGTTTGATGGTGTTTTATGAAGTTACAAGAGTACCAGTATATATGGTTTGATGTTGTTTTATGAAGTTACAAGAGTACCGGTATAATGGTTTGATGGTGTTTTATGAAGTTACAAGAGTATCAGTATATATGGTTTGATGGTGTTTTATGAAGTTACAAGAGTATCAGTATATATGGTTTGGTGGTGTTTTATGAAGTTACAAGAGTATCAGTAAATAAGGTTTGATGGTGTTTTATGTAGTTACAACAGTACAACAGTATTAGTATATATGGTTTGGTGGTGTTTTATAAAGTTACAAGAGTATCAGTATATATGGTTTGGTGGTGTTTTATGAAGTTACAAGAGTATTGGTATATATGGTTTGATGGTGTTTTATGAAGTTACAAGAGTACCGGTATATATGGTTTGATGGTGTTTTATGAAATTACGAGAGTACCAGTATATATGGTTTGATGGTGTTTAATGCAGTTACAACAGTACCAGTATATATGGTTTGGTGGTGTTTTATAAAGTTACAAGAGTATCAGTATATATGGTTTGGTGGTGTTTTATGAAGTTACAAGAGTACTGGTATATATGGTTTGATGGTGTTTTATAAAGTTACAAGAGTATCAGTATATATGGTTTGATGGTGTTTTATGAAGTTACAAGAGTACCAGTATATATGGTTTGGTGGTGTTTTATAAAGTTACAAGAGTATCAGTATATATGGTTTGGTGGTGTTTTATGAAGTTACAAGAGTATTGGTATATATGGTTTGATGGTGATCTATGAAGTTACAAGAGTACCGGTATATATAGTTTGATGGTGTTTTATGTAGTTACAAGAGTATTGGTATATATGGTTTGGTGGTGTTTTATGTAGTTACAAGAGTACCGGTATAATGGTTTGATGGTGTTTTATGAAGTTACAAGAGTATCAGTATATATGGTTTGATGGTGTTTTATGAAGTTACAAGAGTATTGGTATATATGGTTTGATGGTGATCTATGAAGTTACAAGAGTATTGGTATATAATGGTTTGATGTTGTTTTATGTAGTTACAAGAGTACCGGTAAAATGGTTTGATGGTGTTTTATGAAGTTACAAGAGTATCAGTATATATGGTTTGGTGGTGTTTTATAAAGTTACAAGAGTATCAATATATATGGTTTGGTGGTGTTTTATGAAGTTACAAGAGTATTGGTATATACGGTTTGATGGTGTTTTATGCAGTTACAACAGTACCAGTATATATGGTTTGGTGGTGTTTTATGTAGTTACAAGAGTACCGGTATATATGGTTTGATGGTGTTTTATGAAGTTACAAGAGTATCAGTATATATGGTTTGATGGTGTTTTATGAAGTTACAAGAGTATTGGTATATATGGTTTGATGGTGTTTTATGAAGTTACAAGAGTACCGGTATATATGGTTTGATGGTGTTTTATGAAGTTACAAGAGTATCAGTATATATGGTTTGATGGTGTTTTATGAAGTTACAAGAGTATCAGTATATATGGTTTGATGGTGTTTTATGTAGTTACAAGAGTATAAGTATATATGGTTTGATGGTGTATTATGAAGTTACAAGAGTATAAGTATATATGGTTTGATGGTGTTTTATGAAGTTACAAGAGTATCAGTATATATGGTTTGATGGTGTTTTATGAAGTTAAAAGAGTATCAGTATATATGGTTTGATGGTGTTTTATGAAGTTACAAGAGTACCGGGTTTTTTTTGGTTTGAATAAGTGACTTCAAGTGAACACAAAAAAATCAAATTTAAGAAATATTTTACAGTATGTACATGTATATACATCACAATCCAGATGAAACTTTGTGTTCTTTGTGAAAATGTGACATAATTTCCTATTCTAATCACAAAATTTTTGAAAATATATAGTGCCTTAGGCTAGGTTTAATCTTAGACACAAGATTTAGGCTACTTGTTAAAAACAGTTTTTAAATAAACATACCTTCCTGATGTGTTGCTTTAAGACTATTTTTTACATTTTTTCAATTAATTAACATCCTGCTTTCATGTTAAATACTAAATATTGCTAGTTTCACTAATTTAAATACAAAATCTGGATAAAAAAATCCACAAGAGGGCCAAGATGGCCCTGGATCACTCACCTGGGAAAAAGGTCAAAAGGTCAAAGTGGAGCCCCTTTTCACCCCAGAAGCACAATTTGAAAACAAGGGACAGCTTAATCTGAACAATTTTTTGTGTACTGTCACCACGGAAATTTTTGTGTAAAATTATTCCAAAACTGAACCAGTGATTTAGATCTTGTTGATGTTATTGTTTTCTAATTTTAGCTCTGGCAGCCATTTTATTAAACAGTTCAGTCTGTCACTTAAAGTGAGAGGAGAGCTAATAAAAAGATGTCAGAAAAAGACAAGGAAAAAAAAACATTCACATGGCTGGGGATTGAACTGTCAACCTTGGGCTAATTTTGACCCTAGGGGTTTTACTATAACAAACATGGAACATGTTTCATGCCAAATATCTAAGCTTTACCTCTTTTGAATTTTCAAAAAGAGATTTTTTTTAAAGTTTTACTATATACATATAAGGAAAATCAATGACCCCTGGGGCGGGGCCAATTTTGACCCTAGGGCTTTCATTTGAACAACTTGGTAGACATCCACTAGAACATGTTCCATGCCAAATATCTAAGCTCTACCTCTTTACTAGGGCAGCATTTATATGAACAAACTTAGTAGACACTCACTAGAAGATATTTCATGCTTAATATCTAAGCTCTACCTCTTTTTGATTTACACAAGAAGATTTTTTAAGTTTCTACAATATACATAGAAGAAAAATCAATGACCCCTCTGGTGGGGCCAATTTTAACACTAGGGCTTTTATTTGAAAAAAACTTGGTAGACATCCACTACAAGATGTTTCATGCCAAATATCTAAGCTCTAGCTCATTCGGTTTTATATAAACCCACCGTCTGTCTGTCCCTCTGTCCGTCTCCACTTCATTCATGTCTGGACTGCAACTTTGTCATACATTGAGGGATTTTGAAATAACTTGACACAAATGTCAACCACAGCAAGACGATGTGTCTCATCCAAGAACCACGTCCCTACCTCAAAGGTCAAGGTCACACTATCATTTTGAACTTTCAAATTATCGCACTCAGAGTAAATAGGTACACACATTCGTGTCTGGACTGCAACTTTGTCATGCATCGAATGATTTTAAAATAACTACGCATAAATGTCTACCACATCAAGACGATGTGTCGCATCCAAGAATTACGTCTCTACCTCAAAGGTCAAGGACACACTAACAATTTGAAGTTTCACATTATCACAATTAGAATTAATAGGTACACACAATCGTGTATGGGCTGTAACTTTGTCATGCATGGAAGGATTTTAAAATAACTTGGCATAAATGTCAAAAACATCAAGACCATGTGTTGCGTCCAATAATTACGTCCCTACCTCAAAGGTCAAGGTCACACTACCATTTTGTAGCTCACTTTATCACAATTTGAGTTTATAGGTACACACATTCGTGTCCAGGCTGTAACTTTGTCATGCATCAAAGGATTTTAAAATAACTAGGCATAAATGTCTACCACATCAAGACGACATGTCATGAGAAAGACCCATGTCCCTACCTTCAAGGTCAAGGTCACACTGATAGATTGAAGATACACATTCATGTCCAGACTGTAACTTTGTCATGCATAGAAGGATTTTAAAATAACTTGGCACAAATGTCTACCACATCAAGACAATATATCATGGCTAAGGCTCATGTCCGTGTGTCCCCACTTACACAACAATCATATCCAGACTGTAACTTTGTCATGCATTGAGGGATTTTGAAATAATTTAGCACAAATGTCTATCTCATAACAACATTTTGTTGCATCAAGAAACCATGTCCCTTCTTCAAAGGTCAAGGTCACCTTTATATTTTGAAGGTTCATACTATCACAATTAGAGATTACAGGTACAATAATACAAAGAACAATATTAAGCAATTAGTTACTTTCATTCTCTTTTCTTTTCATAATACCTGCATGCTTAAGAAACCTTTTCAGGGGGCATTTGTCACTTGGGTGACAACTTTTGTAAAAAAAATCTTTCAGTTGCCATGGCAACCAGAGTTCTTTATGGAATTTAATTTTGTGAACAACTTTGGTAGAGCTTCATGCAAGGAACATCCCTGCAAAGTTTCAACAAATTTGGCCAAGTGGTTTAAGAGGAGAAGTTGTTTAAAGAAATTGTTGATGCACACACAAACAATGGACATAGGCCGTCACAAAAGCTCACCTTGAGGACATTGTCCTCAGGTGAGCTAAAAACAAACACAGTTTATCAAAACATGTTTCTTTTTAATAAGCTTCATAAAGTTGATATATGATAAATAACAAAGGAAATGTAAAATATAAATTCTGTAAAGTAATGAAAACAGTACAGTTTCTGAAAATAATGTAGGGAAGTGTAAACTGCCCTAATGCTATACTGTGAGCATATGTCTGCCTTATTACATCTAGCATTTAAAGGTCTGTAATATGCCATTAGGGAGAGGAACTATATAAACTTTCTTTCGTTCTAATCCCTTTCAATATGGTATGTAATAATTATATACATATAAAATGTAAAATATGTGAAATATTGAAATAAATATGTTTAAACTAATAAGCCACAATTCACTTACCTGTACATGTTGATGTAACAGTCTCGAAACAATCAAAGATGTTTGGTGTCCAGCATGACCATCAAATATACCATAATAAACTGCCACAGGACTTTGTATCTAAAACAAATTAAGTAGCATACCCTTTAATAAACTTGAAATACAGAACACTTCACCAGTCCTAAATGCAGTATGTACAAGTCCTTCTGCAGTCAGTACAAGTCCTAACATTTATGCAGTAAGTACCATATCTCATGCAGTAAATACAAGTCCTAAAATAATACCATGCAGTAAAAACAAGTCCTATATACCATGCAGTAAATACAAGTCCTAAATACATGTACCATACAGTAAATACAAGTCCTAAATACCATGCAGTAAATACAAGTCCTAAATACCATGCAGTAAATACAAGTCCTAAATATCATGCAGTGAATGCAAGTCCTAAATATCATGCAGTGAATACAAGTCCTAAATACCATACAGTAAATACAAGTCCTAAATACCATACAGTAAATACAAGTCCTAAATATAATGCAGTAAAAAAAACCAGTCCTAAATACCATTCAGGAAATACAAGTTCTAAACTTTATGCAGCAAGTACCAAGCCTAAATCTTTGGCAAAAGGTATCAAAATGAATCTGATACAGTAAGTTACCAGTCCTAAATTACATGCATTAAGAACCAGTTCTTATTCTCATGCAGTATGTACAAGTCCTGAACCTCAAGAGGTAAGAAACATAACTAAACCCCATGTAGTATCTGCAATAGTTCTAAATATCATGCAATAAGTATCTTCCTAAATGTCAAAAAGTAAGAGCCAAACCTAAATTTTATTCAACAAGTACCAGTCCTAATTTATTATGTTACATACAATATGCAGTACTAACTAGGCCTACATATCAGTCCTAACTGAGTCTGCTGAATAGTTTAATACCAGACCTAAAACATTTAAATAGTATGCCATAAAGTGTTCTGGTTTTCCAACAAAAAGTAAACAAACAACTTGAGTGCACGTTTGAATCAAATACTTATCCGTAGGTTTAGTTTCCATGCATACTTCTGTTTATCATTGATTGAACGTCCATAAAATACTTGACAGTCACAGGTTAGCACACAACTTATCTATTAAGTATAAATGCAACTGCAAACCACATCTGACACCTTTTGTGGTTCTATCTACTGATTGAGCATACTTATATTGTCTTGGGAACAATTTGTCTTTCGACTTAATTTCATGGTTGACCTGATCCACGAAAACTTATGTCCCACAAATAATGATTTCACAGTAGTATGTCATACATGTCTTGCTGCAAGTACCAGGCCTACATACCAGTCCTAAATGTTACATAGTAAGTACCAGTCCTAAACTCTGTATCATGAGTATGTTATACACGGCTTGCAGTAAGTACCAGGCCTACATACCTTAACCTGGATACATTATATATTATACATCATATAATGTTATATAGTAAGTACCTGTCCTAAACCTCATGCAGTCAGTACAAGACTTAAATGGTTTATAATAAAGTACAAGTTCTAAATCTCATATATTCAGTATGTCACATACTAGTATTCAATTGCTGTTCTTGATCTGGTGTGCACATTTGTACTTAGTACCAAAATATCGATCTATCATTTCTGGTTCAAATCTACACCGAGATAAGGCTATACACAAGCAGGGCAGCAAACTCAATTAAAATAATGCATGCTCTGTTTGGAATCACCACAGAGATGGGCAAGTGGTTCAAAATTAACAACAAAAATCTTTTCACTATTGAACTTAAGAAGCATGTTATTTTATTTTAAAATTGATATTATTGAAGAAAAATCAGTACCGTTCCATGTGACGCTATTTCTACCATAGATCTCTCAAATATACCATCTTTTTGTTTACTTCCATTTCCTGACACACTGTTCTTTGCAGCAGGATTTGCAGACTTAGAATTACAGTTAGTATAAGTTGTTTTAATTTGTAAATGACAGGCATAAGCATTATCTTCATTGTTATCACTTTTCCCGCCATTTATACACCTGAAAATACCAGTATATAATAATCATATCCACTTGAACAATATAATTATCATGTTGTTTTTTTTATATGACAATTTAAGCCCTGCTTAATGCCCATCAATGTTTAGATGACAGATGATACAAATCAGCCAACCCCCACAACATATAGCCATTTTCTAAACAAAAGTTTTCTATCCTATATTTAAAATGACTATATTCTTTGTGCAAAGGGTACATGTCAAACCTGTAAAAGGGAAAACAGACTATAAACAATGAAAATGCATTGTAAATAAACATATCAATATTAAACTTAAATTCCCCTATTCTGCAATACAATAAACACAATATCTTATTATCTTCATAAAAAATATTTAAGTTCAGGCACATATTCTATAAAACAAAAGTGTTGACATAAATAACAAGAGGGCCATGATGGCCCTGAGGTCTCTCACCTGTATATAGGCCCCACAGAGCAAGGCAAGTTTAAACCCAAGGGCTTTTATTTGAACAAACTTGGTAGACACTCATAAGAAGATGTTTCATGCTAAACATCTAAGCTTTAACTCATTGGGTTTTTTAAAAGAAGATTTTTTAAGTTTTTACTGTACACATATAGATAAAAACAATGACACCCCAGGGGCGGGGCCAGTTTTGACCCCAGGGCTTTAATTTGAACAAACTTTGTAGACACTTACTAGAAGATGTTTCATGCTTAATATCTAAACTCTAGCTATTTGGGTTTTTTCAAAGAAGACTTTTAAGTTTTTGCTATACACATATAAGGAAAATCAATGACCCCTTGGCATGGCCAATTTTGACCCCAGGGCTTTTATTTGAACAAACTTGGTAGACACCCATTAGAACATGTTTCATGCTAAATATCTTAGCTCTAGCTCTTTGAGTTCTTTAAAAGAAGATTTTTTAAGTTTTTACTATATGCTTATAGGGAAAATCAATGACACCCTGTGGCGGGGCCAATTTTGACCTCAGGGCTTTTATTTGAACAAACTTGGTAGACACTCATTAGAACATGTTTCATGCTACATATCTTAGCTCTAGCTCTTTGGGTTCTTTAAAAGAAGATTGTTTAAGTTTTTACTATATGCATATAGGGAAAATCAATGACCCCCTGGGGCGGGACCAATTTTGACCCCAGGGCTTTTATTTGAACAAACTTGGTAAACACTCACTAGAAGATGTTTCATGCCAAATATCTAAGCTCTAGCTCTTTGGGTTTTTGAAAGAAGATATTTAAAGTTTTTTCTTTCGGTTGCCATGGCAACCAGAGTTCTGCATGGAATTAAATTCTTTGAACAATTTTTAAAGGTGACCACCAAAGGAACATTCCTGTGAAGTTTGGATGAAATTAGCTCAGTGGTTTATGAGGAGATGTCATTTAAAGTAAAAGTTTACGGACGGCCGGACGCCGGACGAAAAGCGATCACAAAAGCTCACCCTGTCACAAAATGACAGGTGAGCTAAAAATATCTTCAATAGCTATAGACTTTGAATATGCTCATCTAAACTATGGATAATAAACACATTAAACAAGAAAAAAAATGACAATGATATTGTATCATAATATTTATTATTATATTAATATTCAAAATAATCAATTTACCCAATAATGATTGGCAAACTATTAAAATGAAGATTTCTCTTGCATTCATTAGGCCTATTCAGCTGTATAAAAGTAATGTAAATGGTACAGCCCCACTTATTTTAATGTGTTTGATTATCTTGGGAACTTAAAAACAGCAAGATGTACAAAAAAGATAGTAAAGAAAAACATTCAGAAATAAGTTGAAAATTATATTTTTGTGCTATTCTTAACCTGTTTCAGTTTTTGGTCATTATTTCACATTGATTATTTAAATCTACATCAAATGAAACATTAATCTTGAACAATTATTTCCAGTTCTGTAATGTCAAAAAACCTAAGTACATTGTATGTAGTTTAAAATCATTAATATTATAGATAAGTAAAACATGTTACTATCAATTTTAAACTTTTGTTTTATCAATAATTAAAATGATAACTTGTATGTGAATTGTGGCAAATGATAAACAATTACTTAATATAATCATATCATCATCCTAATCAAATAATTATCATCATTATCATCTTATTGATCATCAAATGTTTTAACAATAGTAATAATTGATGAGTCTGTAGTTTGATCACTATTTACATGTACATGTTTGATAAATATGAGAAATAAAATATGGATGTACGAGCAGCTCTTAGTCTGCACTGGTTACTAGAATCTGTTGGCGCCAGCAGACTATGGGCTATTATAAATTCTATTATCAAATCCTTTAACAGAACATTAAATCTAACAATTGACTTGAGAATAATCATTAGGTCTTTGATACTTTTATTATAATAATCAAAATAAAGTGTACAATCATACACAGGTATGAATCAAAGCCACGTGTTTATGTGATGACATATTACATTGTATATAACAATTATGTATTCAGCATCTGTGCATTATTTAATTGGGTTTGAACAAACTTCAAAATATGGACTGCCTGTAAATATAGTGCATGCAATCTGTTAATAAACATTCATTTTTTCTTCACTGAATCAATGCAAGGGAGATAATACTACAATCACAAACTTACATGAGGTATATGACTTTGTTAATATACTCTAACACTGGCCATAGCTTTCACAGAAGCAGAGGGGCCACCCCTGAAGCAGGGGAGCATTTGTTGCAAAGGTGGTGGACAAATATGGCTTCCAGTTGATCTTTCTCTGTCATCAGTAAGTTTAATGCTGTGTTGAACCTTTGAATGGAACTGGAGCCTGAATATGTACTCTTTCAGGTTTTGACACAATTCATACACAGTCAATTCTTTGCCATTCATATAAACACTTTTTAACAATTTAATGAGTTGACAACTCTTTTACCTAAAGGCATTAAAAGTGGTTGTTTGGTGCAAAATTGTTCAAGTTTTAACCAAAATTTGGTACATGTGGCGTCCCCTCATCAAACTTTGGCCAGTGTGATTCTTCAAAGTCAAGAAAGATAATACCCAATCAGTTCATTAATGACTTGATTCCCTAAAAAACTTTTAGGAGCTAATTCACTGTATACTTTCAGCAAACTTTGGATATGATGCAATATAAATGCCATAGCCCCTAGTAACTCCATTATATGCAGAGTTTAAATTATTTATTTGCATACATGATATTTAACATACAATATATTCTTTTTACAAATAATTGTTATACATCATTATAAATAAAGAAATCAATACATTGTCATTTTACATATTTTACAATTTTATTCTCTAAGAGCTGAACATCAATTTATGTATATCTAAATACATTCTAATTTGAGTCAAGCAGAACCCTGAGTCATATACAATAATATTAAGTTGCTTTTACATTATATTGATTTATTCATGGAATTATACTCAAACACATACTACATTGTAACACATATGATATCACATGCATATAAAACACAAATGCAATAAAAATAGAATTCTATCTACTTAGAAGTATGGTTTAAGCTAGCCAAGGATTGCCAATTTATAATAAAGCTTAAAGCTTATTTCTGTCAGATGGGGTAAAATTAGTATGCATCACCCATCCAAAATGATCTTGATGTCTCTTTGACAAGACTAGTTGTAGCTTTAACATACTTGTATTCACAACAATTGATAAATGAACCAACTACAGGTGAATTAAAGTTAATTACATGCCATAATTATATACTTGGTATAAACAATTAAATTCAAAATATAAAAACGACTGAAAAAAAAAAGGTACTATACATCAAGTCTAGTCAAAATATATTGACGTGCCAAAGCTTGATTCTGAGATATTTTCGTTCTGGGGCAGAATCTCACTTTTACAGAGGTGAGATATTGCCCAGACACAAATAGCACAATATCTCGTCGCGCAGTACAATAAGTTGGACTAATTCAAGTCATAATGTTTAATTTCTATTAACAAAATTTACAAAATTTACTGATATACACAGATAATATGAAAACCTCATTAATCAATTTGTATAATGTAATGACAGTTTATCACAAATGCAGACAATTTTCCTCCAAATTTCAGAGAGGAAATGTCAGGGGCAGGAACTGGTAGGGAGCGAATAGTCTGACTACTGTACCCATTCAAAATTGAAATAAAATTGTACAATAATTACATACTCAGCATATCCACAGTGTAAGACCATATCTTCTATTTTCCTCGGTTTTAAAACTGGCCTTAATGAAAAGTCCTGCGCACATTTTACTTCATCTTTGTCCAAGCCTAGAAAATACGGTCGAGCGTAAGTGTACTTTTCAGGTTTTTGTACTTTTTCCACTTGAATTCCATCATTTTTTTGTGAAAAATTCGACATGACATTTGATGCTGCATCCTTCAATTTGCCTATCATACTTTGTCTAAGCAATATATAAGCATGTCTTTTCTTTTAAATTACGCTAATAACAAAATATTAAAACTGAAAGTAAAAGGAGGTGGTTTTTCTATCTACTCCCGGAAGTTAATGTTTACAAACAAACCGTCCTGCAAGTGTGTCGCAAACAATAAAAGTAGCGTAATGTGACGGAATCAGCGGTAAGATATATTTGTCCCAGCACTCTTTTCGCGAAAAGAGCGTCGGACCGTCGCGGGAACGTCAACATGTTTACACGTTAAAAATTGGAATCAGGGTAAAAAAGATTTTTTTAAAAAGAGTATAAATGGAGAAAATATTAAAAGGGGTGGGGGCTGGAAAAAAAAGACATGTTTAATGCTAGATATGTCTATATTGAACTGCTTTGAGGTACAGAGTAGGGCAACATAATACATGTTAAGTGATTCCATTGGTATACAATCATTGAAAAGGAGGAAGAAAATTTAAAAAAGTTTGAAAAGTTACTGTAAGCTATAGCTCAGGGATGGTCATACCATGATGTTCGGAAGAGGGTATGAATTCATGTATTCTTTGATGGAATAGAAACCAGATCGTGGTGAATATTGTATTGAATTTCAATTCAGTTCAATTCACCCTGGTATCAAAATACATAAGGGGTGAAGTGAGAAGAAGAGATAAGTAGAAATGAGATTAGCTTGCACCTTTATAGATACGTCTGATTCTTGGTGTCCTTAACGCTTAACGGTCAGGCCATGATATCTTGAAGTTTGATCAGACGGGGCCCCGCTGTCCTTCTTTGGACATTTTCAATTTGTGTTTAGGCGTGAGGAGACCAAACTTCGGAATTGTATACATGCTGGGGTCTGACTAATGTTTTGATAACCTATGGACATAACGGATTGCGTTTTGACCCTTAGGAACCCTAATGTCTGGCGTGTTCTTTGGGATATTCTGTGCATCCCATGTAACGTTATCTGAGATATGCTCGCCTAGGTATTTTGTTGAGGTAATCAATTCTAATTGGACTCCATGAATATAGCATATTGTGTTAGGATATAATATCATGATGTCAGAGCAGCGCATATTGCATTATCGTCTGCAGACAGGCGGACCTTGAAAATGATGTTTTGTAGGAGGTCAATAACCGTCATTTGTTTAAGCGAGAAATAGCAGAGATCTGAATACTGAGGTTTTTGGGGGAGGGATGGGAAACATCGATCTGAAGATACTGGGATGGAGTTAGAGCTTTTATCATTAGGGCAATTGACTGCAAACAGTCTGCTATCTAGGAACTTAGGAAGCAGACCCGATGATTTAACGTTTGATTTAGGTTCATTTTACAGAGATGCACAAATGCTGGTTCAGAATTCAATTCTGCTATAAATAACTTTCTGATGCCAAAACTTTTATATTTTCTTTCCATACATATATATAACTTTACAATTTCATAAACGGGTAACATGACGCACAAATTAGTTTTCGCGTAAAAATGGATCCGAACAAATTCCACAACCATTATTTCACTTAAATTTATGTATGAAATAATAGTTATTTATGGTCAAAAATGGAAACGACCCAAAACGTCAAAATTTGTTGAAGGCTTGGTTTGACTGAGTCTGTTTAAACAGTAGAAATCTAAAAATACCACAAACACAACATTAATGTCGTGCTGAACTGTCTTCAAGGATCAAACAGTATGTACGGGGCGACTTTTAAAGGACTCTACCCAGCATAAGCAACGCTGTTACAATAAATGGTAAAAAAGAACGCATAACAAGACGACAACATTGTGAACGTTGCAGAAGCTTAATTTGAATTCGACGTTATAGCATGACGGTATTATTGTAAATTTAGTAATACATGTATTTGCAAATGTGTTCATACGGCGATTATAAAAGAACTTTCCATGTGACACGTCCGTTCCATTCCATGAAAAGTGGCGTATGCTCTCCAAGTAACAGAATGCTCGCGTATTCTGAAGGAGAAGTATGGATGTAACTAAATTTAATTTCGAAAGGGGATCAGAGGTTATGAAATATGAAAAAACAAGATCAATAAAGAAGGGTGGCATTCAATGAACGCATCACACGACCTAGCAACACAGGACTACCGGCAAGGAGCCCAGAAGGATACAAAACAAAACAGGACAGGGCACAAGGCAAAGTACGTACTGGTCATCACAGACAAGAAGTCATAGGACAAATTTAAAAAGCAATCAACATGCCCAAGGGTGATGAAATAGTATTCAAACAGGAACACTTGAATCACCAAGCAAGGAAAAGACCCAATGCAGCAATGATGACGTGCTGAATCATACTTCTTACCTAGACTATAAACAGGATTTAAAAAAATGAAGCACATGTGTCTTTTTACAGGTAACATCTTTTTCTCAACTTTCTTAGCATTAAAATGTGAATATTCTTAAATATTCGCCAGGTATAACTGATATTTGCATGTCATTTTAGGTACTGAACACAAAAGAACAACAAACTACACTATGTAATCGCTAACAGCATCTAGATACCAGCAGAAATAAGGAGATTTCAAATGAAAAATAAAACAAGAAACAAATCGTCTATATTTTGTTTATTGTCTCCGTGATTGATATATACATGTTCAAGGGTGTGTATACTTAAAATATCACAACCTCCTGTGACAATGGAATTGCGTGAACAAAAAAGATAAATAAATTACCACATATTTGCATGATTTTTCTATTTAACTACCTTCTTTAAGGTTCATAAATCAGACAAGGAATTTTCTATTTAAAACATCGAGGGAATCACCTGTATCGCTAGGTATGTGGGTTCAATAAATCAAAATTGATACCCCTTGTAATTTTTATCATACCCCTTGTAATTCTACAACTTTGTTATGATGTTTACACTTCATTAGAACAGATACACTAGCATGCAAAGATCACCTATTGTTAGACAATGTCAGATAGGTATCGCTCCAAAACTGTTAATCGCATGTTTAAGACATCAAAGGGTTCTAATTTAAATCAATTAGTATCGATACACATCAAAAAGCTCTCATACTTGATGTAAGCGTGTCGACGATGGAGACCCACACCCAAGAAATTTAGCTTCAAAGATATATCATTGCATTGTTGAAAGGCCACAACTTTGTATACCAGTCAAATAATAATGCATAAATAATACGTACCAAATAAAGTTTTGAATCAAACGTGTACATAGAAAATATTCGTACACGACTTATTGGCATTGAATGTCTGACAGAAACAATGCTCTTTATAGAATGACTAATAGATTACAATACATGTTCATGTACTCGTCAAACGAAAATATAGTTTAATATGTTAAGAAGTTTTTCTAACTTCTGCACTTGGGGAATTGCCCGTAAAACAAAACAAACGACGAAAATGTGTCATGCACATGTTATTGACTACTTTAATTTATTAAGTTTCCATTTGCAAACCATTTGGGCTTCTCTAAAACATACCGTATTACACAGGTTGCTGCAGTGATGACCAAAAACTAAAATTTACTACTACATGTAGGTTATAAACCTGAAAGGTGGTATATATATTTATATTACGCAAATAAGGTCAATTTATTTGCCATAGACTTATTATACATTGACTTAACGGTAAATTTGGGCTCGTTTCCCAAGCTCTGTGAAAATGCCTGGTTTTTTTTTGTTCAAAATATCTCAAGTTTGAAACAAATGAAAGGACACAAACAATCATCATTTATGGTCATGTATACACAATATCAACCCAGTGTGTCTGTTCTTGAGAATGTTACTGGCGTCCAAACCATGGAGCCCGGTCGACGTGAAATTGCTGCCGTGGTAGACAGAAATGTATTTTCTAGGCTGCCCGTTCTGAAATTGGCAACCATTCTGGCAGAATAACTACAATTGAGATTTTAAACTATTTCATTTGTAATGTTTTTCTCATTACAGAAAATATATTAATGGCGTAGGAGCAACGAAAAGCCTTTTATTGACACATAGTTTAATTGGTACATTAAAGTCGATTGTGTTGGAAGCTATAAACGTACATGTGTATTGAAAACTCTCGAATCCGTTCCCGGAACCAACAAGTACTAAGCAATGAGTGTCAAGTTTCTAGCTCACGGAAACAACATCTTGCCCCTCACGGGGTTTGACAGCATGCAGTCAGCAATTCTTATATTACTAGCTCGACGCGTTTTATCAAAGGTAAATAATGACAATTATAAACAACACTGCTTGAACCTAAATGAATTAACCAGTATAGAGCCAAGCTAGGCTCGGAATTTTTAAAATTTCCATCTTGATATTTCCATATTAATAATGGACAGTTACAAAAATGGGACCTTGATTAGCCAATTTCATAAGTTCTGTAGGTTAAGATCTTACCAGTGTTTGCACTGTTGTCTGGCCAAGTTTAATTAATCTATTTTTTTATTGCAGCCCATCACATTACCTTACAAGAAGAATAACACCGTAGGGAACGTGTTACAGTATCGCGTTTTTCGGTTACAGTATAGAATTTTCAAGATGGAGGATTATTTATGGGAAGAGAGGTAGGAGATTTTTATTCAGGTCCATACTTCAAGTAGTTTAGTTTCTAAAAGATGTTTTTGTGCTTTGCTTGTAAGGAACAGAATCCGGTATCTAGTCATATATTTCTTCAGACCTTGCACCGCAGATTTATCTCTATATTGTCTCATAAATGTGCAGATTTGACGGTTTGAAAATTTGAATCGAGAGACCAACGCATTTTTCTCCCATTCCGACATTATTTAAGCATGCCTAGATAAAGTAAATCTACAAAACGTTAGTCCTTTGTGATTAGAAACATTTATAAAAGTAAATGACCAGTTGAACCTATTTTCCTGTTGGTAAAATGCGTTTGAAAAAGTAAACAATGTTACAGTATAGAGCGAGGTGATTTGTGCAGGGTTACAGCATAGACCTAGCGATTTGTATCCAATTTTGTTACAGTTTATACCCAGATTTCTGTTACAGTTTAGATATACTTGCCAAATTTCAAACAAAGTTCGTGTATCCATTATTTTTATGAAATAACTCATACCTTTCTATTTAATACATTATTGAAAGGTTGTATTACTTTTATTCTTAAGCAGAAAAGTTATAGTTTGCTATTTTTCTTACTTTAAGTTTCAAATTGAGA